GTTCATCTTCTTGTAGGATGTCAAGTCATCTTTATTTTTGTAGCACTTTATTCAATAGAGATTGTTTCAAAGCAGCTTAACAGGATTAAACAGGAAAGTAGCATAATCAGTGATGCAAACTTTAAAATACATGTTATGCTGTAAAGTAGCTCTAACAAGACAGTGTCATTATTCAGCTCCAGTCAGTTAAATATGTAAATATGTTCAAACAAGTTTAATTCCGTGAATAGGAGCTCAACTGTAGACAGTAGTGTCATTATTCAACTCAAGTCAGTTCAATGTTGATTCAGTTTGGTTCAATAACAGAGTTGACGTTGCAAAATGTGTCAGTTCCAAACAAATTCGAGCTATAAAGCAGCTCTACGGAAGACAATATTGTTATTATTTAACTCAATTCAGTTCAAGTTTGGTTCTCATCCAATAGTGCCGGTGCAGTAAATCGATAATATTACTGAATATTAAATTAATATTAAACTCTAAAAACTAAGCTAGGCAAAAGAAACAGTCACAAGTAATCCAAATTTCATCAGGTGATAGAAATGGAGAAGAAAACCTTGGGGGAAACCAGGCTCAGTGAAGGATCTCTTCTCCCCAGGCCAATTCAGTTCAATTCTGAATTTTGCACAACCCTGGTTTTGTAACATGGCTTTTGCAACGATTGCATCAAAAGTTCGAGTCACAGGATTATATCCTGAATGCTTTGTAAATCATTTTGAATAAAACCATCAGGCAAGTGCATGATTGTAAATAACTTCTCACATCATGCCTGATTAGTTACTGCAGATATGCCTAGAATGATTGATCGGCTTGATGTGGTTTGGTACAGTAAATCCAATTTGTCAGGCAGTTGCGGGCAGTGGCTACGGAAGGTGATAAACTAGAGTAAATATGTACCATCAGTTTTTATTTTTAGGATGAATGAGGTTATTTCCCCATTCGAAAAGCAATGTTACAACCACTTTTACAGCAACCTTCAGTGGGACGGTCAGCGTGATAAATCATCTCTTTCAGTCATAACGGTTTAATTCTCGGAGAGTATGATGGGTTGTGCTGCGCTTCACTTTACCAGCTTGAATCACCCTCACACTTTGTCATTTTGACGATGTGTCTCCTTCATTCAGATCTGCACACGTGTCTATACATGCTGCACTTGTGATTGGACAAAAGCGAACACAAACACAACTCATTGTGTAGCACCAGCTAGCTAAAGCCAACTCCTGGTCCAGACAATAGCCTGTGAAGATGGAGAAGCACTCCAGCAAGTCTTTACTGGCTATAATAGCAGCGTCTGGCAGTGATTTTCTCAGTCTCACTGCCTGTCGCTGTCAGACACAGACGATCAGCAGAACTGCTTTGAGGAATTTGGAGAGGAGCCTGTCGTTTAAGGAAAGAAACAAAACTGGCCCAAAGACAGAAGCCTGAGAAAATAATTTGCAGAGAAACACTCTTGTTTCTTAAGAGATCGCTAAGTGCTTTGTTGGTTTTGTCTAGAGTTGTTTGTGTGAATTGCAGGCGGGTGTTTGTGTTAACAGATTGTCTGAAGGTCCTACTTATGCTCCATGCATAAACAGCTTAAAACATCAGTTATTAGATGCACTTGCCATAATGCTGTTTGTGCATGTGCTTGGCTTGTTTATCTAGGTGTTTTGCCCTTAATGGTCCCTCAGTAAAAAAGGTGTTTTACTATGTTGTTATCCTGATAGAATCCAATTAGTAGCATAAGACATCCTCAAACTAGGAATATGTTAGAAATAAGCCTTTTCCTAAGAAAACCAAAGGCTTTGGGTTTCTTTTGCCTGTCATATCAAACAATTTCTGTTCAAGGAAACGCTATCATATTTGAGCCAATTTATCCTATTAGATGTAGTTTTCCTATTAGATGTGATTATTTTA